GATAGAGCTGTGGTCATGATATGCATGATTTTCTAATGAGGCTTCAGTGTCTGAGGTTCAAGAAATATCACATTTAAAAATGAGATTCTTAGGACTTTCGCAAACAAGTTTTATACTTGCTATATTTCCATTGATTGATAGATCAGATGAAAAGAAGACAGAAAGAAAGAGGACTTTTTTTAATACCCTCCTCCATTTATAAAAATTTTTGAATTGCACATTTTGATTTTTTTTTAAATCCATTCATTCTTACTATTTTAGTATAGATTTCTTCCAGAGTTTAATAATAAGTAAATATAGATTTAAACATTACCTTTTATCTTAGGGAAAAAAAAAAAAAAAATCAAAACTCTCACTTGATTTTTTAAATCAAAATGATATCTTCATAAGAACTCTAAGGATTTCTCTTATTTGTTACAGATTGATATTTAAAAGATATTTTAAAAAGTCTCCTGCTTGGAATTAACAGTATATTGCTTATTCTAGTCTCTTTTTTTTAATTATAAAGTTTTATTCACAAGACATATAAATGTTTCTTAGTAGAACATAGTATACTTTTACCTGGAATTTAGTTAGTATTTTTTGATCTTGGTTTACCATATATAACCATATGGAAGCTCAGTGGAGCATATATTCTCCTAAGTGCTTTAAAATTTCATAATATCAGGTCAAAGAATCTGCCTGCAATGTGGCCGACCCTTGTTTGATCCCTGGGTTGGGAAGATCCTTGGAGAAAGGAATGACTACCCCACTCCAGTATTTTTGCCTGGAGAATTCCACGAACGAAGGAGCCTGGATGGCTGTAGTCCATAGGGTCACAAAGTCAGACATGACTGAGCCTCTAACACACACTATTTATGTCAGTGCTTTACATTTATTATCATCATTTTACAGAAGAGGAAACTGAGGTTTAGAGAATTTAAGTAAGTTTTCTAAAGTTACACAATTGATAAATTGTGGGTCTGATTCTAGAACCCATGTATTTTTGTGACAGTATGTAAAGCACTCTTATAAACATGCAATTTGATCCCACTCTGTAAGCTATTCAGATACTATTGTTTATTTTTATCCGTGGTCTAGGACACAGAGTTCATTTTTTTTTTTCCTGAGATTGCATAGCTAGTAAGTAAAGTCAGTGAGCCTAGAGTCTCCAGATTTTGGAGTACTGATCCAGTGCTGCTATTGCACATTAAAAAGAAAGAAAGACAGTCATGTAAGTCCCACAGGAAACTTAGAGCATATATGAGTAAAAGGACTTTCATTGAACAAAGTTGGCATCCACCAAAGCAAGACGTCCAGACGTTATGAAACAGTGTGGCATGTCTGAGAAAACTGACAGTCTAATATTTTAGAAACTCTGTGGGCAGAAGCTGAATCTAGAGTGTGTGCTTTGCGACTAAGAAAGGCGTGTAGGAGCTAAGAGCAAGGACCCTGGAGTAAACTGACACACGTTAGGATGACCTTGACAAGCCACTTCAATCTTCAATGTCTTAGTTTCCCTATCTGAAAACTGGGAAAGATCGCTGTCCATGACTCCATGTGGTTTTTACATTGATTAAGTGAATTGACGTTTAGAAAGTGTTTAAAATATTACCTGGTATAGTAGAATAGCAGGCACTGTGTGTGCGTCGTGTTTAAATGTATAGTACGTAATTTGAACATCCAAGGAATTTGTGGAACAAAAATATGTGGGATAAAGCTGAGTTTTGGAATTGGAGGATCTTATTGGATATTACTATTCAAGAAGATTGGCCTAGGGACAATTTAGTCAGCACTGCTAAATGCTTCATACTGTCTTTTCATTGTTTCTAATGAATGGGTATGCAGCAACTTTAATCTCTTGGACCCTATTTTTAGGGGTTATTAAGAACGCCTGATAAAAGTAGAGTGGAATCATTATAAAAGAACTTTGTATATCAAAATTAGACTGTCATATGTAATTTTGTAAGATATGGAGAACTTTTTCCAGTTCTTCACAGGGAAAATGAAATAACAAAAATAGATTTATTAAATCCTTATTATGTGTTTAGCACTGTTCTAGTATTTAGCTTGTATTACTGAACCGAACTGAACGCCTTCAATCCTTACAACAATCATATTATGCCACATAGCAAATTGAAACAAAGCCAGGCATTCCGGCTCTTGAGAACATACTCCTCGCCAGTCCTCCTTAGGGAAAGACAGTGGACAGCATGTGTAGGATGGACAAATATGGGAAGCAATTAGAAACAGGGGGAGCAGTTTGCTGTGGAAACATAGTCAAACTAAATTTCTAAGAATTATAATAGATATAGATTGTTGACAGTATGCCACATAAACTTATTAGACAACTCTATCACACACATTTAATCAATATCATTCTTTCAAATGTTTGCCAATTTCCAGCACAAAAATAATCTCATTTGGTTCTGCACTTCTAGATAGTCTCTGGAATTTATCTATATTGAGAACTAGAGGGAATTGTAGAGGGGTCAAATTTAATCCTGTCTTTAAAGAAAAGAAAATTCTTTTTTTCTGTCATGTTTACTCTCCCAGTTTCAGTGAACTTTATTTTATAAACTGGATAAAATTTACCAAAGCATGAGATAAATTGATTATTATATGTTCATGGAACATTATTGAATTACAAGGTTAAGTTATTTTACAAATGACTCATGATCTATAGCCAATGGATAGGGATGCATCAGTTCAGGTCTTCTGGAAAGCATATACTAAGGTAGAATTACAAGAGCTTTGGGGGGGGGGGAAGGGAAGGGAAACAGATAAAAAATAAAATAGGAAGAGCAGATATGGCCAAGCAGAGCCTCAGACTGAGATGTAGGTCAGCCATCTATGAAGACAGAGAGAAAGCAGAGCGTTCAGAAGGATGAGCCTCAGAAAGCAACGCAGCTCTGGGGGTCTCACCAAGCTAGTGGCGAGCCCCAGAATGAATATCGCCCTTTGCAGGACTCTTGCAGGGGGCACACGTTGCCTGGCTCCAGTCCGCTTGCCGTGTTCAGTCACTGAGGCGAGTGTGACTGCTGTGGATCCTGAAGGTGCAGCAGCTGGAGGCTGTCCGCCCACTGCAGGCTCGGCAGTAGAGAGATCCTAGCAGGCACTCCCACGACTGCCATGGAAGTATAAACAATAGTTTTCTGGTTGGAAAGAATAAAGTGCTTGCAACAGTTTATATTATGAGTATACCATCCTACCACACTCTGAGTTCTTTTTTTTTTTCTTTTCAGATGTTTAGAAAAGTTCTAATAGTCTATCTGCATGTTTTTTGGTTTTTTTTTTTTTTTGCATCATTTAACTGTTCCCTAAATTGAAGTATTTTGGAGAAAATCTTCCAGCCTTAGATTTTCATCAGGTTCAAGATATGACCTTGGCTTCTGAAGAGGTGATAATATAACTTAACCGTCTCTTCTAAGCTCATCTAGTGATACCCAACTCATTTATTTGTTTAATCAGCATTTACTAATATAAAAGCAATAAACGTTAAAGTATGAGGGAATGTTCCAGGAAGTGTGCATATTTTAGAAAGTATAGAGATTAGAATGCTTATGGATTTTGTTAGCAGAGGAGGCTAGGGATTTAGACAGAGAACAGATCCTAAATGGAATACACACATTTTATCCAGAAAGTGACGAGGAGCCCTGCAAAACTTCTATGCATGACAATGACATAATCAAACTCGTGGTTTAGCAGGAATACTCTGGTGGCCAGCTAAGACAGGCAAAGCCTGCAAAAAGAGATCAGCTGGGAATTTTTTTTATTGTTATCCAGAAGAGAAATGAAGACAGAAACTAAAATATTTAAAAGAATTTCGTGATTAATTGGATGTAGAATAATCAGGAGAGGGAGAGGACAGGTGACTTTATATTTATGGCCTACATCTTTGTTAATTAAAATGTTGTGGTCTGAAATCAGCAGCATCAGCATTACTGGGAGCTCATAAGGTATGCACAGACTCAGTCCCCACTCCAGACTGCCTGAAACTGCTTTCTTCAAAAGATCCTCAAGTGATTTATGTGAGTAAGTTAGAGAGAAAACCCTGGGAGATAGTGAAGGACAGAGAAGTCTGGTGTGCTGCAGTCCATGGGGCCGCAAAGAGTTGGACACAAGAGCAAATGAATAACAAAGTTAGAGTAGCATTGGTTTAGTCAAGGGTCAGTAAACATTTTTTAAGGGGCTAGAAAATAAATATTTTAGGCTTAGTGTATATACAGTCTCTGTTGCTTCTATACAACTTCACTGATTTTAGCATAAAAGCTGCCATAGACAATGAACAAATAATAAATGAATGTGGCTATGCTCCAATGCAGTTTTATTTATGGACACCAAAGTTTGGATTTTATATAATTTTCTCATATCACAAAATCTTCTCTAGACTTGTTACAACCATTAAAAAATATAAGTTGTTCTGAGTTTCTGAGCTATACAAAAATTGATGGCAGGCCAGATTTGGCTCCTAGAGAATATTTGCTAATACCTGGCATTGGTGAGTGAATGAGTGATGGGCCATTTACTGAGGTAGGAAATCCAGGGACAGGAACAATTTGCTGGTGAGATGTGTTGAGGTCCATAGGACAGGTATTATGTCATCTTTTAAATAAATACAGATGCTAGAGACTAAACAAACTAATGAGAAAGTTTTTATAATTTCATTCTGGGAAACTTGAACTATCTCCTGTATTTCTCTGATGATTTCTGTTTATCTGATGAATCTCTCGCCAATGAATATAGAGAAAACCAATTCAGCATGTTTCGTGCGGTAGATGCTCAACTAGTTTTGATTGATATCCATGAAAACAGAGTATTTAATCTTATTAATCCGAAACTTCAAGTAAAATTATACAAAATGTCTATCATTTTATACTAAATGAAGAATTCTTTTTACATTGTATTAGACAGCAAGCCAGACTAAATATGACTTAATTTATCAACTTTTTCAGGTAGAGGTTAATTATGCTGTGTCAATGCCTAGTTTTTTTCTTATTGTTTTCTCTCCAACCTCACAGCTTTCTCCATCTCTGGTGAAAATAGCCAGGTGGTAATGATTGCCATTTCAGCGGCGGTAGCAATTATTCTCCTCACAGTCGTCACCTATGTTTTGATTGGGAGGTGCGTTCACAGTCTCTTTTACAACTTACTTGCATTACTGCATTGCTTGTTCCCCTCAATTGCCACTAAACTCTGAAGGGTTTGGTCAATAAGTTATTTTAACGAATAAGAATGTCTCCACTTGTATTCTAGATCTTTCTTTTTTCTCCCTTTCTTTTGATTCTCCACCTTTAGTTTTGAGTTTCTTTTTTTCATTAAATTCTTGCCCCACTCTCAAAAACATACCGTTTCTCTTCTCTCTTCTGACCTCACTCTTAGTTTTTACTTTCTTTTTCCAATTATCGCTTCCCTCACCAAATATACCCCAGATTTCCCTGACACTTTCTCACCCAGAACACTGGTAACACTACGCAGCACTAATCACTAACAATGGAAACTTTACCCTCCATTCATTCTAACAGCAGTTGTTTTAAAAAAAATACTATAAACACTTGCTAGGGCCATTATAAAAACTGAACTGAAGGAGTCTGCACAGTGGGGAAGCGACTCTCCATATCTCCTCATTAGGCAGCTTTCCAGGATCCCCAGAGAAAGAGGCTTTCTCTAGAGGATTTAGAAAATATGAAGTCATTAAACTTTCACTAAAGCATTTAATTGTTCACAGAAAATGCTTTTTGTGTGTGTGTGCTTTGCACGTTCTGAACATAGATCATTGTTTTCAGTATATTTATTTTCTGTGTTCTTTTCCTTTAATTCACCTCTAGGTTCTGTGGCTATCATAAGTCGAAACACGGTGCAGATGATAAAAGACTTCATTTTGGGAATGGACACTGTAAGTTTCTAACTTATGTTTGCTGTCTTGGTTTTACCATTTCAGTTTAAGCAGTTGTTGACTTAAAACTGGATAACTTCCCCCTGACAGAGAGAATTCAGAAGTAGTTTTATGGGAGGGTTGAGCAAGTTACATTTATTTTAAATGGAGAAGGGAATCCACGGCTCTCCATTAAGTAATTTTTTCGCGGCTGCATTGCTGCACACTTAAGTTAACATGAAGGGTAACTGGTGGTTTATATTCAAATAATGCTCATGATGGGAAGTACATAACTATAGTCAGCTCTGCATGGCTGAAAGGCAAAGCGTATCTTCAATTTCCTTATTACTAGTTATTTGCTGAAATCTAAATAGGAATCTTTTTTCCTTTCTTAACTGCCAAGTAAATATAAACAACCTTTGTTTATGTGAAATGCCTGACTCCATTTTGTCAACCAACCAGGATAAAGCCTTTAGAATAAACTTTACTTTGGAGTTACATGATATCCAGTTGGTAGGGAAGTCAATGCTTTCCCCTCTTATTTTAATATCAAACAATTTAGTCTCCTTTCAATATTCTTTAAAAGAAATACTCTTATATCTAATTAAAAGACTTTCTTTTTTTCCTTCAGGCGAAACAAATCATTCCAGGTGTTTTGCTTTTCCAAACTATGGCTCAGTTTATTGTGGCAATTACTAATCAGTGGCATGTCCTCCTGGAAATTAGCACAAAGATTATACTCATTCTTATATGTTCTCCAATAATCTCACTGTAACTAATGTAGTCTTGTAAGCATTACTTTCTTTGGCATTCACTGTTGCCTTCTATAAATGCTTCCAGTTCAACATGATACTTCCTATCAGTCATTGACCTTCCACCTAAAAGTTGTAACTTTACAGTAAAAACTTGATGACCTGTTGTTACCATGCGGGAAGCATATAGTAGATTAAAAAAAAAAAAAATGTTTTCCAAAATGTGAGTTAAAGTAGGATGGACAGAAAGGCAGAGTTCACAGAGAGCATTGTTTGATTTTTCCATCTCATTATAGAATAATTCACAGAAAAACCAATATCAATAATATAATATCAATATCTCATTCCAGAGTAGTTAGGTTTGCAACTCAAAAGTTTTAAAAGAGTGTATGAATAAGTTACAGGATATTTATCTAGCTTTTCCTTCACAATCCCACAAAACACTGTATCTCATTCACCATGCATAAATTAGTCAAAACAGTTGCATTTCTGTGGATTAAATTGATCTTCATCTGAGCTGGACAATGGATGTAAATACTGTCTTTAGAGCAGCCATACTGATTTGGTTCTTTATATAGGAATTATAAATCTCATAAAGTTGAAACACTGATAAATTTTTGTGTATCAATTTTAAGCAGGTTCCTCTATGACTCCAATCTGCTTTAGTTGTTGGTTTTTAGGGTGGAGTTTGCTGAAGATTTAATTTTCTTCAAATGCACAGTACACTTATGATAGCCAAACAAAAAAGAAATGTGCTTTACCCTAGCTTTAAGGACATAAAGTAACTTATATGCCTGTCATAAACTCTCTGTGTCTTAATACTACAGCTGGTTTATTTCAGACCATTTATTTGGTATTACTTTGAAAAGCTCTAGCTATGAACTGTTCCCTCCAGCCTTGTTACAAATCCTATAATATTGCTTCAAAAGGAAAGAAATGTGTTTCACCTCCTAAGATCCTGTCCCCTTGCCCTCTCTGCCTGGGCCTTTTTACTTTTTCGCTGTCCTTAGGGCAACTCATGCTGGTAAAATGGAAATGTAAATTACTATGTTTGCACAGAACGAGCTGTAAAGTAGTGCAGCTTAACACGTGTGCATGTGTTTATTATCTGGTTTTCTTGACACAGCCCAGTTACTCTCTGTGTCGCCCTTAATTATTGGTGTGAAGGGATTATGCGCTTGCATCCTGAATCACCTGATTCCTGGAACCTCTGGGGATGGCTGTTAAAAATCAGCAGCCAGAGCTCCCACGGTGAACAGGCCATTTTTCTTGGAGATGTGTGTGTATGTGTTTATATTTGTATTGTTTCTCTAAATGCCATGTGGCTAGAAAAGCCATTTACTTGATTTTAATCAATCACGATGAATTTGATTGATTTTATACAGGAATGACTATTTAATTTTTAAATTATTTAGTAATATGGATACTCTCTAGGGTTGACAGGAATGGAATGGTAACTCTAAAGGACACTTTCAAGATTGTTTCAAGCTGGTGCTTATTTAAAATACTTGAGACATCCTTCCTAATAACTCATTTTAAAATCTTCTTTGTAATTCCTTCTTTAAATTTACGTATAGTTGATTTACAGTATTAGTTTCACATGTACAGCGTAATTATTAGGGTTTTTACAGATCATATGCCATTAAAAGTTACCATGAGTAAATGGCTATAATTTCTGTGCTAAACAATATGTTTTTGTTGCTTACCTAATTTATATGCAGTAATTTGTATCCCTTAGCCCCATACCCGTATTTTGCCAGTAAATATTTCTCAAGTTGATTTCCTTAAATTCAGCAAGGCAGAATATTTGCAACTGTTTACTAGGAAAAAATATATTTTTCACATAATTTTTTAAAGTACTACCATTTCCCTTGAAAAGGAATGCCAGATTTTCTTACTTTACTAGTCCCCAACCTTAAAATGACTAGGGGGAAAATCAAAACGGGATGTTCTCATATTCTAGCCTCCATTTGATGTGTCTTCTTTTAAATGTAACCAAAATGACTAAGCAGAAAGGTTCTGAGAAGACTTCATTTCTTGACATCTTTTACTAAATCTTTGGTTACTTTTACTGTTTTCCTTACCCCAAAGCAAGAAATTCTGTTTGCTTGTTTTAACAGTAAATATTTTAGTATTGATAATGTAGAAATAGTTCTAGTGTAATAATGAATAATAGTAGACCACTGTACTAAAGAGTGACTATTTTTATAGGAAGAAATAATGTTTATAATAATAGCAGAAGCATGCAAGCTGATGTGTGAGCTCCAAAGAAATGGGCATTTTTGAACTCAAATTCTGTCTCCAGGAAACCAAAGGATATTCCTGTTTGTGAATAAACCTTCTTAACATGAAATTACTAATAATGGCAACAGTCTCTGTCATTTTCTGGGCAACAACTACAATCACAGGCACTCATTGCTAGGCATTTGAAAAGCATATTTTTCAGAGTTTTTATCCTCGTAGGCCCAGTACATTCTTTGTACTACAGAAAAGTAGAGTTCTTACTTCAAAAGCAACTCCCCTCACAGTTTGCCCAGAGCAAGGGGAAAAAACTTACTATTTCCCCATTTTTGTGGATGCTGACTCCCTAGCTATGGGTGTCATTTCAATTATCAACACTCTGCCCCTGGATGGAGAGTGGTTGCCCTTTTCCAATGTTGCGGTCACTAACCCAACTTATTCTCAATTCTCCATGTGCTCCCTCACCTTTCATACCTATTCTGTTGCCTCAACAGCATCTGAAGAAGAGGCTGAGGAAAATAGTTTTTACCTCCAATCTCTCCCAGTCACCATTTCTCTTATAATCCATTTATTCTTATGCTTTACATTTCTTTACTCAAACCTCTATGGAAGTTTCCCAGGAACATAAATTATTATGTGATGTAACATGGCATGCACAGAGTCATCCTGTAGATTAGCAAACTAACCATTTCTTAATCTAAATTCTGAAATCCTGGACTCATTGGCTAAATGGCCATTGTGCTGAAAGCTCTCTAGAACAATTGCTTTCATGATAGTCGCTACCCCTGTTTCATGAGAACTACCAAACTGGCTCAAAGAAACCTTCAGAAATTCCAGAATGTTCAGGTGTGATTTTGCCATTAAGATTTTTCTATTAAAAAGTGGTATCAGAAAAGACAATGTCTGATTTTATTTGCTATTTTAGGATGTTAAAAAAAATCCTTCAATAATATAGTGTGATAAGAGAAAAAAATGTAACACTACTAAGCGTCCACTTTTCTAGCTAAAACAATTTTACCAATGTTACTAAAATTAAAATCAAAATCAGTTATATTGGCGCATAAAGTGTGGGAGTTTATTACATTATTATTTAATGTTAAAGCATTAGTGTTATGTACTTTAATAGATTTTAGGCTTCCTTTTTATTTTTTTTTTTAGGCTTCCTTTTTAGAGAAAGTTCTCAGAGAAAGTTTCTTGAACATTCCAAATTGCTTCTAAAGTGAATTATTTTTCTAAATGATAGAAATTTCATTAAAATTAAATCAAATTCAAAATGATTCCCCTCTATCTTCTGTCTGTGCAATTTTAATTTGGAACATTGTGAAAATTTTCTACCTTCAGAATGATTAAATAAACTATGAAGAAAGTTTATATTTGATAAGCTATAAATATGATTTATGTTTGGAATTTAGCTCCTTAGCACCATTATTAAACTTATAGAGCATAATTGTATTGCCTTTAGCTATATTGAAAAGCTGGGTGGTCACCTTCCCTCGTGGTGAGGAACCCGCCTGCCAATTACGGAAACCTTAGAGACGTGGGTTCGATTCCTGGGTCAGGAAGATCCCCTCGAGGAGGGCATGGCAACGCACTCCAGTGTTCTTGCTTGGAGAACCCCATGCATAAAGGAGCCTGCCGGGTTATGATCCATAGGGTCGCAAAGAATCGGACATGACTGAAGTGACTTAGCATGGACGCATGTTGAAAAGCTCCACACAATGAGATTTCAGTTAACTGATGCTATATCTCTTGTGTACTCAGCCATGTGTCTGACTCTGTGACCCCATGGACTCTAGCCCGCCAGCGATTTTCCAGGCAAGAATACTAGAGTGGGTTGACATTTCTCCTCCAGGGATCTTCTCCACTCAGGGATCGAACCCATGGTCTCCTGTGTCTCCTGCATTGGCAAGTGGATTCTTTACCACTGAGCCACCAAGGAAGCCCATATATACACATACAGTTTAATTTAGATCTACAATTGAAGTGGAGAATTTTAAATGACTATTAATAAAAGCAGAATAGTGTCAGACAAAAAACATGCTGTTTTATATTCTCTAACTATCTATAATTACAGCAGCTATCCCACCTTACGAAATTATTTCACAAACTTTCCTTTATTGTCCCATGTGACACTATAATAGAGATTTGGTTATTTCACTTTGTTGAATCACACATGTGTGATAGTGTGAAGGCATTCACTCACTATTGTTACAGGTAGTGATTGCTGGGCAGACTCAATTCTGAACCATTCTTCTCTCCTTAAGAACCCCCTCATTTTCCCTCTACTGATTTTACAGAGAAAACTCCTCTCTCTGTTTCATTACAAGGGACTTTTTTTCTTAAATTGTTCAACTTATTTACTCTAACTTTTCTGTCTGATAATTTCTGTGAATAAACCAAAGGTTGATGCAGTTTAATGTCATGGGAATTCTTTTAAACTAATAATGTTATCATAAAACTTTCTCAGTAAATGTTTTACACATCTAGCTACAGTAATGCCTTTCTTCCTTTCTTTGAACAGTAAAACTTCCAGGTCTCAGGACTTATGTTGACCCACACACATATGAGGACCCTACCCAAGCAGTTCATGAGTTTGCTAAGGAATTGGATGCCACCAACATATCCATTGACAAAGTTGTTGGAGCAGGTAAGCACCACAGTAATCCCAATGCCAACCTAGTATGTTAATTACAACTTTACAGCTATGCATAAGAATCCTGCCTGAGATTGATTGCTCACACCCTCAGGTCCCTGTATATTGCTTCGAAAAGGGACATTTTCTGATTTCATGATGAAAGGCAGGCAGTAAATAAATGCAGGAGTATTTAATGGAATGTAATGATTTCAAAGGTCCCAGACTTACAGGTTATGGTCAGCTTTTTATTTATTGAGTTTCAGAGGTGGCAGCCACAGCAGCTCATTCTCCCCATGGCTATGCTGATCATGTGTCACAAAGTCTATTTGGCTAAATGGAAATAATAGGATGAAAGTGTGTCTTTCTTTAAATTAGCCTACTAAGTGAAAAATTTTGATTTGAAGGGAAAAAAAAGTAACTCTTGACTCTTCTTTGGAGTTAGGCAACATAAAGTAATATTAAAAAATGATATATTTTATATAAATTCCATCAAAACTGTATTGAGAGAATGATAATATGAAGTGCTCCATTTTAATACCTGCCTGTAACACTAAATAGTTTTAAATTATTTGTGTTGAAACTTGTTTTCATGTAGATATATTTTTGTTCTATTTATTAATTTGCTCAATCATAAATTCATTAACACCTATGGAGTGGTTATTAATTGCAGCTTCATATTTTCAAAAATTATAGATATTTATAAAATAACAATGTTTTGTACCATTATGCATACATATATGGCATTCATAGTATATGCAGTGTCTATTTGAGTAAAACTACTACTCCAAAGAAAAATAAACAACACTGTACAATAATTACACACATCACCTCGTTCTTCAATATTGCTTTAAAAACAAACTAGTTATGTTGATGTGGGAAATAGAGTGAAAGACTGAAAAATGAATTCTCTGAATTATGCATACCATATCAGGACACATTTTCTGCAAGAACTATATATGACTGATGCTTTTTTACACACATGTAAATATAATTTTCTGTTTCTTTTTCTCTGCACTGAAGAAATATTTAGAATTCAAATAGTATTTACTGTTCAAGCAGGATAATCTGAGTGATTCACATATTATCTAAATAAACAAATGGTTTAGTAAATCTCTCTTCTATTTTTTTAATGTTATATACTCCCAAAACTCACATGTGTGGGTAATATGAAACTATCAGTTCATAAAAAGACTTCTTTTTTCACAATCTAAGACTTAAGAACATACACATTCACCGTACGTCTATGTTAATCCAGCTAAAATTAATCCAGATATATATTTATTCGTCTCTTTCCTTTGTATAGTTCTGCTTTGTCAACCACTCCAGAGTGCAGAGGCGTTTTGTCATGCTGGTTTTAATGTTGCCCCACAAGAGTGCACTGTTCCCCAGCATGGAAGCTGCAGGAGCGTATGAAGCACCCTCAGCTGGAGAATGTGATGAGAGAAGGAAAATCTACTCATGGTCAGCCAGGGTCCATAAGGCCAGACATATTGCAACCTCGAAATTTGGGGCCTTCTGCATTAAGAAAAACTTATATATACAGATGTTATTGACAAAGTCAGATATCTAGAACACAGTGTGTGCATGTGCTAGTCACTTGTGTCCAACTCTTTCCAACCCCATGGACTGTAACCTGTCAGGATCTTCCATCCATGGAATTCTCCAGGCATGAATACTGGAGTGGGTTGCCATTCCTTTCTCCCAGGGATCTTCTTGACCCAGGGATCGAACCCAGGTCTCCCACATTGCAGGCAAATTCTTTACCATCTGAGCCACCAAGGAAGCCCCTATATATTCAGGTATTATTGACAAAGCCTAGAACACAGTAGGGTGACATAAAAAGTGGTCTCTGATCAATAAGATAAAGGGAAAGGCTATCTGTACTGAATCACTTAATAATCCCTGATGCTCATTAAAGATTAGAGCATATCCTCTTTGATTTCTCTTCAAGCATATTTGCAAAAAATTAGAGATATGCCCCATTTTCAGTATTTTGTACCCAATAGCCTCATTTGCCACATAAGAGCTATAAAACTGCCTGTTTTGTTTGCAAATATATATATCTTCAAGATATATTTTGCTTCTCCTGGAAGATTTCTTTATAATATATACTCCAAATTCTAGTCTGTCTTGATTAGGCTTTAAATGATTTGTCATTACCAAGATATAATATGAAATCAAGATTTTGAAAGCTATAAGGTTTAAAATATTTTGTTTCATAATATTTGAAATGTCTACAAAAATAGATTAAATTGTATAATAATATAAAGAAACTGGAAGTGAAAGTGTTAGTCGCTCAGTCTTGTCTGACTCTTGGCGACCCCATGGACTATAGCTCACCAGGCTCTTCTGTCCATGGAACTCTCCAGGCAAGAATAATTGGAGTGGATTGCCATTCCCTTCTCCAGGGGATCTTCCCTACTCAGGTATCGAATCCATGTCTTCTGCATTGCAGGCAGACTCTTTATTGTCTGAACTACCAGGGAAGCCCACCATAATGAATTTGCACGTACCCATTTCTGCAACAACTTGAATCACAATTCACTGATGACCAATCTCCTTTCATCTATACTCTTAACCACTTTCTATACCTTCCTAAATTTTTAAAATAATGTTGTCTGCAAAAATTAGTAATCATGCTAGATGGATTAGCAGCTATCTTCCACTGTTAAAGAGCTGAATATATTATTCAATCAAAGAATTTTATAGTCAATTAAACATACAGGAAGGCTATGTGGACAAATTCTAGTTTTAGGTCAAGAATTTCATACAAAGAAATAGATTTAGTAGAAACTCTCATTTATGCATTTAATAGCCAGAAGAATTATACCCATATTGCAAATTACAAAATTAAAACTGAGGCATAGGTTAACTTTCCCAAAGTAATATAATTTTTTTAGTGAGGAATTTATACTGACTAAAATTCCTAATTTTATCCCTCAATCCACATATTTCAAAGTTTTCTATAGGTTGAAAATATGTAATTCTTATACTGTGTTAGGCATTCACATGGTTTAATTTTATCAGACTTTTAAATAGGCATTATTATTACCATTTCACCAGATGAGGAAACAGAAGCTGAACATTTGAATGGCCCAGGGTCGCGTAGATGTTAATTGGGAAACCAAAATTTGAATCTTGTACTTTTCAACTTCAAAGTCTATGCTAGACACTGCTGATCACAATAGTGATCAGCCTTCCAAGAATTTTTTTGAGGATTAGCTGAGATAATTCATGTATAATGTTTAGCTTATATAACAGCATTGTTCAATATGTATTTTTATTATGTTTTGATTAAAATAGTGGAAGGAGAATGGGTTTTGAGGTAATGCAGAAGGTCATTCTACTTAAACAGAAGTGCATTTTTTCCTGTTTTAAATGAAATTAGTATAAGAAATTTTATGTTGAGCAACTGTGCATTGTGCACCTTAAATCAAAATATGGTCTGCCCATTCTATTAAAACATATCTTATTTTAAAGAGCAAATACACAGTGATGCACTTAATTGGTATTTAAAAAAATCAAGAGTATCTTCTCAAATAATCTTCTTGTAGCTGTATTTTTATTTAGAAATGACATGATCTAATTTTGTTTTTTCCTTATGGGTGCAAATCTAATTGAATAAGATCATGTAAATCTTGACTAGATGGTAAAATCAGGCATTCCATTTGCCCAGTCTTTGTTGGTTTTTCCAACACTGTTCTTTTAAGAACAGTTCTTACAAAGAGAATTGAATTAAAATTTAACATTTCTATGTCTAGTGTGGGCTTTCCTGGTGGCTCAGAAGGTAAAGAATCTGCCTGCAATGCAGGAGACCTGGGTTCAATCCCTGGGTTGGGAAGATCCCCTGGAGAAGGAAATGGTAACCCAACCCACTCCAGTATTCTTGCCTGGAGAATTCCATGGACAGAAGAGCCTGGTGAGCTACAGTCCATAGGGTTGCAAAGGGTCGGACACAACTGAGTGACTAACACACACACATGTGTATACTGTATTTGTCACAGTTTCTAGTATTTCTCAGGTGAAATAAGCACATTTCTAAATTTTATGATTTTTTTTTAAAAATACTAGCATTACTGAAACACCACTTTCTGGATTTCAAAATCCAGAAAGTGTCCATGTGTCCAGCTCTCCCATTGAGAATGGAAAAAACACTAATTGGGCCACTTGAAATTCAAAGTCTTCCCCTCTGACTTCCCTAGTGAAGTACTTTCAGAATATACTTTTCTTTACAAATACTTGTCCAATAGGACATTAAACGTGTTATCACCATCATCATCACAACCATCTCTTCTTACATTAACAGACTTTGACATTTTAAAAAGAACTCTTATTCTTCACTTTGAGCTAACTTTTAAGAGGTAGATAATTAATCTTTCTTATACTATGTTTGTACTCCAAGAAGAAATAGTAAACATCACTTAGATGGCACTTATTATGTTTCTGTCTCTCTTCTAAGTGCTTTACATATTTTAATTCCTCTAACTGTACCAAAATTTTATGAAGTAGAAAATAATTGGTGTCCCTATGTTACAGATAAAGAGACAAAGGCATCGAATCATAGTCACTCAAAATCACACAGATAATAAGTGACAGATGCAAAATTAGATCCTAGACAATCTGGCTTCAGAATGCATGGTCTGTATTACAGTTCTGTGCTATCTGCCCTATCAACTAAGTGCCTTGTCATTTAGAATAAATAGTCATGATATCCAAATTTAAAACATGATCCATGACACCATATTGATACATGATAATGGCAGAACTTTATTTTAGAATGTGAAAATTCATTATGACTGCCTCCTTATGGTTTATCCAAAATTAATGTTTACAAAGAGTGCGTGGGAGTTAGGCAATGTTCTGATAACCCTGCGTAAAGAAACTCTTAGTCTTGCTTACAAATTTTACTGAAGTACTTTGCATCCTGACTTCTCCTAATGTTCATGCATCTATAACAGCATATTCTTCCTTTGATTTAACAATGACTGTTGAATGTTCTCAAGTTCTGCTCCTAATTCTCTCTATAATCCTGAAAGCACCCTAGCTACAGATATTGCCATCTTCTCTATGCTTTCTTGAGGGAAAGAAATTAGATCTGCCTTTATTAGCATATTATCTATGTGTTTTTCAAAGTTTCTGTCACACTGTTGCCAGTTGATGAGTATTTATTAAATAAATGTATGAATAACTGCTTTTGGATGTTAACTGACTTCAACAAGTTACAGCCTAAGTCATTGTTTTGAAAACAGTTGGCAAGACTGGATTCCTGAGCAAGATTCAAATCTGGGGAAGTCATTTATAGGGATGTGGTTGGTAAATCAATAGGACAACCTGCTGCTTTGTAGAGAGAAGGATTTACTTGGATGAAAAATAGAGAAGAAGCATCTCACTTCTTGACACCTTGGGCTTGTGTAAAAACTCACAGCAAGAGGGTTGGACCAAAAATATTTTTCCATTCCGCAGAAGGCCTAAAAATTGATCATATAATTTTCCTTTTCAGAAAAATATCTCATTTGCTATTAAGAATCACTTTTAATGTTGTACAAAACCCATCTAGTTGCACAACATCAAGATTTCTTTTATGAACCAGGTACATTCTATATCTGACACTAGTGGCCATCACTGTGGCAGCCTTGTTGATGTTCAGTTGCTAACACGTGTCCGAATCTTTGCAACACCACGGAATGCAGCATGCCAGCTTCCTTGTCCTTCACCACCTCCCAGAGTTTTCTCAAACTCATGTGCATAAAATTGGTGATGCCATCCAACCATATAATCCTCTGTTGCTCCTGCTTTCAGAAAGCAGATATATGTAGTTAAATTGGTCCTCTTGGTGAAAACAAATTGGTGAGACATGTCTCAAATTTAACCAAGTGCTTAACTCATTATATTGGTGCTGCTCTGTTGATTATTTTGAGGCTATGAGAATAAGGAGTGAGAAGTCTAATAGACACAGCTTTCAATTTCCTTCTTGACCTTTCATATTTCATTATTCACAATGTAGTACTTCAGAAGACACAAAGCTTATCACAAGGTCCATTTTCCACCAGGGTGTGGATGGCTTAGGGTTTTTAGGGAGTCTCAGACTACCATCTTCCAAAATAATTTGGAGGTCTATGAGTGTACATCTTGCAAGTCAAGGGTGTAAATATTTTGAATCGAATTGTTGAGAGAAAACAGTTGCTGTCTACTAATGATTTTCGTAATATCATTCCTTGCCTTTTCTTGTTGTTTTCTTCTTCTGCATTCTAACAGGTGAATTTGGAGAGGTGTGCAGCGGCCGCTTAAAACTTCCTTCAAAAAAAGAGATTTCAGTGGCCATCAAGACCCTAAAAGTGGGCTACACAGAAAAGCAGAGGAGAGACTTCTTAGGCGAAGCAAGCATTATGGGACAATTTGACCATCCCAATATCATTCGACTGGAGGGAGTTGTTACTAAAAGTAAGTGAAGTCATAAAACTGATGATGTGTATGTTGAGCAGAAGTCGTTTAAACCCAAAGTCAATAATTTAAGATTTGGGGTCTTACTTTCATAAGTCTTTGTTAGTCTTGACAATAAAAACAAAACAGTTTAGGATTAACACAGTTCTTTGACAAGAGATCAAATATATTTAACTAATATTATATTGACAGTGCTATTCTAGATCTTAAAAAGCTTTAAAAAGTTTAGGAGCTAAACCTTGGGCTATATTAAGACATGTGGGTTAAAAAAATAGTTAAATGAACTGTGTGGAACTTTGTGTTATGTAGAGTAGTAGGAAAAACTAATGACTCAGTTTTGACAGAAATTGCTGGGAACTCCCAGATAGCTGCCTTTTCTATTATTGTTCAACAGTTTCATTTAAGCTTCCAAATCTTTACCCCCCTGGCTTTGGAAAAATTATGAGAGTTTGGGGAATGCTTCTGAGCTATAAAGATTGGGATCACATTAGACCCAAGCCCTTTTCTCTGTTCTCTGTGGATTTCAAATAATTCTGATCTACAGTCCCAGATGGATTCTTGACTGCTCTGGCTCACAGCCTGTGATGGAGATCTGAACTTGTTTCCATGATATCTTCTCCAGCCAGGCTCAAAAGGAATCCCTTGAGGCAGATATGTGATTTTTGGCTCCAATTCCAATGAAAATCTCTTGAGAATGATCTGGAATTTATTTTTTTCTCAAGATTTTGGAGCATGAAGTGAATAATGAGCTAAATTCACAACAAAGTTCTTAAAGTGAAAGACAGCATGTGGCAGAGAATTTGGCATCCTTTAGGGGGTTATTCATTGGCACCATATTTACATATTCTATGGTTACCAACAGACATTATAAATTATAATTTTTATGATGATATTTTTCTTTATCATTACATGGAGCACTTTTCAAATGGCACTAATACCTAGTCTCATTTTAGTGAGACTAAAAAGACAATTCCTTATTCACAAGAGCATGGTATAGTTGAAATATATCTTAATTTGCTTTAGAGTTTTTTAATATAGTAAGCAGGGTTAAGAACTTAACAATGTCAAAGAACTTAGTCATAAACTATAAAGCCATATTGTCCTGTTAGAAGCATATTTTTCCTTCTGTATGCCTAAAAACAAGGCTACATTAGTTGTAACACTAACACATTTTCTGATCAAAAGATCTCTTTTAATTTTTAAAAATTAGTAATGAAAATACTGCTAGTAGTACTAAGGATGGGAAAACTAGTAAGTATTCTTTTCTTCAGGGCAAGACCATATCTATAGAATATCCTACTTCATATTAGAATTACATAATCATGTCTCACTGGGGTTTTCAGTTCAGTTCAGTTCAGTTGCTCAGTCGNGCTAGCTATTTTCTACAAGTTCATTTACTGAATGATAAGCAAAATTAAGCCATAATTAGTGTGGAAGATATTCTTATATAAAAAATGGATAATCAAATATGAATTATAGTCATCTGGCAAAGAAACCCATAAAAAAACCCAAGATTGAAATGCAAGAAAAAATGCGTTTAAAAATTGACCTTAATAAATTGCAGGTATTTTACATTAAACACTTTATTCAAGTAGGGGTCTGTAATATTCTAATATGAATTACAACTGCCTTATTCTTAGAGTCAAAGTTCTAAATTTGATATACCTCCTTCATCAAATATGTATACGAGAGAGTGCCAAATTTAACTATATAAATCCCAATCATCTCATATAGTGCAAACATAATAGAGTTGCAAACCTAGAAATAGATTTTGAACTCCTTTAGTGGCATATTTAAAATCTCTAAGTCTGGTGCCCTATTACAACTGAGGGCAAATAGAAATAACAAGGCAGTTATGTCACCGAAAGAAATTATTTAATCCACTCCTATCATTTTGTTTCCCAAGAATATATAATGCTAAAACAACCTACTTGCAAAGCTCAGAAACACACATACAACTAGAAACACAGAGTTTATAATTTAGTGAACAAATTGTATTTCAAGAAAAAAAGAAAGCATATTGGTATCTGGATTAAGAATCAGGGAGTCAGAGATCAAGCTCTGATTCAGCTCTCCTGGTCTGTGAGACATCTGACAAATCAAACCACTCCAACAGACTTCCTCTGTTCACTTGTAACACAGAATTAGCAGTCCTGCTTTACTATTTCCAGGTCCTTTTAAGATCAAATAAGATTCCATAAGAATATATTGTTAAGTGGAATACAACTATGCAAATCTAAATGATCACTTCTGGTTGAGTTTGAAAAGATTCTACTAGTTCATCTGGGAGTACAGAAGAAAATTATTGAGAGCAATTCCATTCTTTGCTCAAAGATAATTTTTATTATGACTATTAGTTATGTGCTTTGAAACACTGAATCTATTCTAATGTATCATTTTCAAGTTAGAGAAAGCTCTTTATTCAATCATTTTATTTTCACTTATTTGAATTGAGCCATAAACAATTTTAATGGTGTGGCTTTGAGCCTGATGATCTTAAACAAGAGAAGGTGAGAGAGTCTCTGATCTTTAAAGTAGCAGAAAGCTGGGGGCACAGTCCTGCTCAGAACTTCGTACTAACATGTGTTATCAATTTCAGTCGACATTCGAAAAGATGGAACTTGTTTTTAGCAAATGTTTGATATTTCTGCCATCACATCATTATTCAAAAGATGTTCAGACTGCATCCAAGAAGACTTTCCATTGGTCCACTTTTCACATAGTGAAATAGAAGGAATTATGTTGGATGAATTGGAGAAGGAAATGGCAACCCACTCCAGTGTTCTTGCCTGGAGAATCCCAGGGACGTGGGAGCCTGGTGGGCTGCCGTCTATGGGGTCGCACAGAGCCGGACACGACTGAAGTGACTTAGCAGCAGCAGCAGCATGTTGGATGAGATGTATTTTATGTTGATATTTGGGGATGGATTATTTTCTAAAATTTAAAAAGTAATAATGCAACTTAGCTGTAACCTTGTACTATTGAGTAAAGTCATGGGCAGAAGATTAAGGGGATTTCTCATATTGAAAAGACTTCTATATTGGTGTGGGTGTCCACTGGACACCAAAAGCTCAATCATTTGCTTGCATTTTCTGTACATATGGTAATAAAATATTACTGGATTTGTTGTCATTCTTTAGTGACTATGCCGTATTATCTCTATTTCTTGTTTGTCTCTCTCTAAAACAGTGCTGGGACTTGTCTCAAGGACACTGCTCTTCATGTTATAGTTTTAATAGACTATGTATATTTTATATATATTTTATTAATAATTTGTAAAAGCAATCTGTTACAATAAATTTTAGAAACTGATGAGGCAAGTTATGCATTTGTGACTATAATTGATATATGAGTTGAAAACATCTCTAAGTGGCCATATCAACCAAGCTAGGAAAATCTCTAATCAATATATTAGAAGAAAAATAAGTAACACAGAGAATCTCATTTTTACATGATTAAAAAATTTCCTTATTTCCTCAACATTATCCACTCATGTCTCTCTGTTGAATTGGCCACAATTATAAAATAATATGTTGCTGTGTGTTTCCCCCAATCATTTAGATAGGATAGGCTTTGATGTTTTTGAAAGATTTTATTTAGTTCACAAAATTTGCTACAGCATGAGTTGAATGTGCTCATATTGCCTCTTACAGAGCTCTAGTTTAAATCTGCAATATCTCTCCTAAAGGAAGAAGAAATATAACTGTACATTTGTTTCACAACTAAGTAATTCTAGTCTTACACAAATTCTTGCAGAAAGGGAAAAAAAAAACCCGCACATAAAGCTAGTGATATCTTAATATCAAACCATATAGGAATATTATCAGTAAAGAAAATAAGAGATTAGTGTAACACATGAACAAAACTTCAATAACACTGGTATAATTATGAAATCATAACTAGCAATGTATTAAATAAAGATACCTTATCATGCCCAAGGTTAGTTTATTTCAAGAATACAACATTAATAGAAAAAGCCAGTCTCAATACATGCAAAAATAAACATTTTAATTTAAAATTTTTTCTTAACATATTATGCATAGAAATACTCTTGCCTGATAAATGTATATAAAACCCTCCAAAACAAAAGAAAACAAGCCTACAAACTCCATAAAACTATGAAAGCATTTCTTTCAAAGTAGAAACAAGTCTGCTATCACCATTTCAGTTTATCATTAGACCTAATGTCTTAATCTCAATTTTTGAAATTAGACAAGAAAATAAGTAAAACGTAGAAAGTTTGAAAAAGGAAAAAAAAACTAAGCTGTACTTATAAAATCTAACTGAGAATATTCCAATTATTATTTTCATTCATCATTATTCCACTTATACGAATCAGCTCTGAATGGAATAAGGGCGAGTAGAAATGTTGGTCCTGTTCTTAAAAGTATTAAATTTCACTTCAAATTTAGCATACATACATTAAAAATTTTAATCAGCTGAATGTAAAGTTTTTGATGTGTGAAGAGTAGAACTGGTTAAGAAAGAGTTGGAGAAAGTACTTTTTAGCCTGATTTTGAAGAGAGAGACTATCCTTAGCTGAAATAATAGATCTGATATGATCAGTTCTAACTGGAACTCTTATTTAGGACTATGGATAAAATAGAGTTGGTTCCTGCAATGGTTAACTCATAGGCCATTGGATGTAATAGGGATCATTCTTAACATAAATAATATCTTGATTAAATGGAATTTGGAAAAGATTGTCATGTGTGTTTATATGACTTAATGGTAAACCTGTAGAAAAATATTCCAATTCAGTTCATTACAATATTTCTATCAGTTGGTTAGTTATAGTATATGGAAATCTATAACCAAAACATTTTCTTTCTAATCAAAGGTGATTCAAATCATCCTTTCCAAGAATGCTGAGGCATATTTTGTCAATTTTCTTCAATTTTCTTTCTCCTGTTTATGCTCTTTTTCTTCCACTCTGATTCTGATTAAGTGAATACTGAATACTGACTGCTAAGGTCACAGACTTTGATTTTGTAATCACATGTATATGTTGGAGAGTGTATAAGTCTTGAAAGCAAGACAGAGTGTGTAAGACACAATTACTGTTAATAGCAATTAATTGCATTTCCTATTAAATGAATTAAATTTCAATAATTTGTAATATGTAAATCATTTATACATGCTTTTCATTTTTGATTGAAACTATTTTAGTCTAAAACCACATTTATTTGATAATTATAATAAAAAGTCTATGTCTGGCTATATATTTATAACATTATCCTGCTTCCTTTTTGTAGAATATTTGATTAAGAAGGTGGTGAAATAGATAGTGCTGAACTTGAAATTCTTAGACATTTTGAATTACATTTCCTTTGTCAGCAAGCAAAATGATTAGTAATATCTCTGAGCCACTGGGGAAATGAACTCATTGTAAGCGACTGTTGTGCTTCCCTTAACCCTTTAATTATGAAAGATCATGATTTTATCTATACTCATGTCAACTGAAGAACAAAAGCAAAATTCCACTGCGTTTCATTTTGCTGATTCTTGATGGAGTTTCATTTCAGCCAAACAACAATAATTTCATTGATTTTTTAATGTATATTCAGATGTTATTAAGGATCTCTGAGGAAGTTAATGACAGCAGCTTTTGAAGAAACTGGTAATGTCATTTCTAAATCAAAATACACATGAAAAAATGTGCAAACTTTGATAGAAATACATTAAATAAAGTGCAGATGAGCTGGTATTTTATAAATAATTTCCAGCTACATTTAACACATATTAGAACTAGTTCTTACCACTATTGCAGTTTCTTTTCCTTTTACTGTTTATCATAATCAAAATCACAAGAAAAGTAAGTGAAGATATTCCTTTCCAAGGTAGAATATTTGTGATTCTGTTTACTTTTTGTCATACATTTGTGTTTGCTGAATCTTTGAACTTAATGCAAAGCACATTTTCAGACTTACTCAACTTAACTGAAGTGTTTACAAATACCTAAATTACAGAGCTAAATGCAGCCTGATCTGATTTCTGAATGGTCATGGGGCTTTGGCTTAATTGACTGGTTTGATTTTTGAGCTACTTTTATTTCCCTTGCCAAACATTTTACCAGGCATGCTAACGAGAAATGAAATGGTCATAGGGCTGGGAGCCAGAAGGAAAAGAGTGATAAGCAAAGGTCTGGAGAATATACAAATATAGTAACTGGCCACTGTAAGTGAGAGTTTACTGTAAGAAGCAGTGACCATGTTTAAGAGCTGCATTGAGTTTCATGAGCATACTATTCTTCTAAGAATTTGTTAAGGAAGAAACATAGAAACTTACCGTGAAGTAGGGAAAACATGCATATGCAGGGTTTCATTCATTTATTTGATTGTTCATTTATTTCACTTCAGGTTAGTTCTCTGCAATCAGTCCTTAGATATTTGATTTACCAGTTCAGAAGAGAGAGAAGTTTCCAAGAAAATGTTGAATTTTCTGTTTCTTCCTGAATATTGTTAAATCAAAGTTTAGTTAAAATTTTTGAAGAAGCAAGACTGGACGCTCACAATTTTGACTAAAATAACTTTTCAGGCATTATCAGGTTGTTTCTTGTTTTTGAAAGTGTGGAAAATTTTATTAATATTTAGCTTAAAAAACTTCATAACAGTGGTACACCAAGAGATGTATAATGTGTCTGATATGTTACCCAAAATATACGACTAAATCAGCCTTCAGTTCAGTTCAGTCGCTCAGTCATGTCCAAATCTTTGCGACCCCATGAATCACAGCACGCCAGGCCTCCCTGTCCATCACCAGCTCCCGAAGTTTACTCAAACTCATATAAGCCAACTTTTTCACTCTCCTCTTTCACTTTCATCAAGAGGCTTTTTAGTTCCTCTTCACTCTCTGCCATAAGGGTGATGTCATCTGCATATCAGCCTTAATTGACAATAAATCACTGTGTCAGTTGATTTGTACATATATGAAAATCTAACAAATTTTACAGAATTGAAATAATTCCTCACCTCTAAATAAATAAGATATATAGCTTGGGATATAATCACATACTAAATATAGTAAGTATAATCTTCCTGGCACTAAGCCATACTTCACAACCAGTATGAATTAAGAGTTTCACTAATGAAAGGAAAAACAAGGAAAGACAGCTATTTTCTGGCATCAAAATGGCAAACAAATGATGATGTAGAAGAAACACATGAAAAAAATTATGCATGCCCTACAATTATGTGTACATGAATGTTGAAAATCTATTATGTGCTCAAGGTCTCTCATGCTTAGTCAAAACTTAACTCAGGTCTTCTGGACTTGGAAAATAAGTGAGTTTTTTTCTTTTCATAACATAACAGATTTATATTTAAAGCAGTATATAAAGAAAGCAAAGATAAACAAAGTGAATTATGCTGTGGTAATATGGGTAGGCTTTGAAACTGGAGTTACATTTTACTGTAATAATTTTTTTTAAGTGCTATAGTCTTCAGTTATTCTTTCAATTCAGAATGTTCCATAAAACTGACACCCAACAACTACCTCAATTATTACCTATAGCTGAAGATTTATTTTATTTGCAGATCTAAGTATCAGCATACTTAGCACTTCTGTGCATTTTTCTAGCACTTTTTCATATATTAAATATTTCCCTCAGTGTACGTTTCCAGCAGTAACAGCATAACATATTCAAGTTGCAACTTCTGGCTTTATAACTTATTATCTATGAGACATTAAATTAATTACCTTCTGTATATTTCAGGTTTTTTTTCATGTAAAAAGTGAAAATGGCAATAATTAGTGTTAGTATATATAAAATAGTTAAACTAGCACTTTATACAAATGAAGTAGGTATAATGACATTTAAATGCTTGTTAAAATGTTTAATGTTGTTTAAGACCCATATTTCTCAAATGGTTATAATAAGGTACTGCCAACAGCAATTTTAATTTTATTTTTCTTTTAAAGGTAGTATGGATTTTATAACTTTTAATGTGTTAAATGAATATGAATTAAAATGGTTGTAATTATTAGTCTTAAATGTTTTGCCAATTTATATGTAGGATCCATGAATGTAGGGACTTTGATTTACTTGCTTCTGAATAATCAGCCCAAGAGCAAACACCTAGTATATAGCTCTGTACATATCTGTGTAAAGTGTAAATGGTTGTGGAATTTTGGGCTCTATTTGGTCTTAAAGACAGAAATACTTGATTTTGTATATCAGCTAAAATAAAATGCAATTAGAATAAAGACAGTGCATCATTTGATTTAAGGAAAACCATGTCAGAGAAGCTAATTTACATATCATATAGGTTATAGGCCCTTTTTCTGAAAACAAATCTTTCTCCATTTTTTTGCTTCATTTTCTACTGAAAACTAGTTTTCTTTTTAAGTGCAACTTTGCAAATTTTGGAGGACAGAGAAAAACTTATGTTTTTTAATTCATCACGTATATCAAAATGTATCGTGTGTGTTGCATGATATTTGTTGAACTCTACTGATGATTATGCATTTATTATTTATCTAAACCTAGGTAAACCTGTTATGATTGTCACAGAATACATGGAGAATGGTTCCTTGGACAGTTTCTTACGTGTAAGTAGATCTTTTATGTACATTTATATATCTCCACCTTATCTTTATCTATCTACAAACATATATATATATATATATATATATGGAATAAATTGTTGAAAATGATAGTGACAACCTCTATTATGATGCCCATTAGATAATCAAACTTTTAAGAAAATTGACGTGGTTGGCACTAAATAGTAAAAGGAAGATTGTAAAATTACATCTTTATCTTGTAGCATCCAAATGTTGATGGTTTCTATTTTTAAAATAAGTTTGTGTAATTTTCTTCAGTTTTTTTATTCAGACAAGATTCACATTAGTTAAAACAAAAAGTTAAAGTTTCTAAAGTGAGACATAAATAAAATTGGTATAGACAGAAACATTCATTTCTTTATTTAAAGCAACTTCCATCTACTATAAGATCAAAGACCTTCTCTCTCTTACATAGTACTGTCCTCTCAGAACCTAAGCATGTGATATAATGCCTAAGTAGTCTCAATCCAAAGATATCATTACTTATCATAACTAGCTTACATACATATATACATGTATAAGATATATTTACATATAAATTCAACTGTTTATATTTATAAACATTGTTTTAATAATTTCAATACATATTATATTCAAAGAAATTCAGAAGTTATGTGGAATACAATACTCTGTCAATCATCAGTCACTACAAGGATGAAAAAAAATAAAAAATCAAGACATAGACCCTATTCTCAGGGTGCTTTTAGTACTATGAGATAAGGATAGATAGATAGATAGGTAGATAAAACATATACTATAATTTGTAATCATGGAGAAAATTCTAATTTTTGTATGAATGAGAAATTATATTCTTTATTTTAATATTTGTGAGACAACGATTTTAGTAGCAATTATTTTCATAGACATATTTCAAAAACAAACATTTTACAACTCAGGTAATTAAAATATTTAATAGTATTCTTTTAAAGTTTAATAAGTATTCCTTTTAAATTATTGCTTTTTAAAAAATTACTAGACATTAAATTTTTATATATCTATGTATATATGCATACATCTATCTAGATATCATCTATCTATTGTATAAACTGTATATTTCTATTTTAATCCAGACAGATTGGAAACTTTTCTAAATCTAGTACTCTGAATTTATCTCCTATTACTTTCAATTTTATGACCTAAAACTCAAGGTTGGGTAAAAACACATATACCCAGTAAATATTTTTGACTAATGTTGAGCTATTTTTTATAATGAAAGACTCAAGTTACCTTATTTGAAGTCGTTAATAAAGCACATGAAAACAAAAAGGAAGAAAAAACATTCAGTCAAGCCAATAAACACGAGAAACAGCCAGAGGATCCTTTTTATTTTGTTATTCTTGACCTTAAAGTTTCTGAGAAGGAGTTTGTCTCCTCAAAAGACCAGCAAAGTTCTGGTTTTGAACCTGAAGTTAAAGAATATTAGGCAACTTCTTGCTACAAAGTATTGTAGCTACTATCCTATTTTGCTTTACTCTTGTATATCTTGTTAGCCTTGTGTACTTAAAACCAATATATAGGCTCTACAATTCAGTATATGAACATGTAATCAAGATATGTCTCAGGGAATAGCAACACAGCTCAACTGTTCATTTGAACTATTTCTCAGAAACATGATGCCCAGTTTACAGTTATCCAGCTGGTAGGGATGCTTCGAGGCATAGCATCTGGCATGAAGTACCTCTCAGACATGGGCTATGTTCACCGAGACCTTGCTGCTCGCAACATCTTGATCAATAGTAATTTGGTGTGTAAGGTTTCTGACTTCGGACTTTCACGGGTTCTAGAAGATGACCCAGAAGCTGCTTACACAACAAGAGTGAGTAACTTGCTTTCTTTTTTTATTCTTTTATATTTAACAACTTGCCTTATGTTGACTAACAAATAAATAGAAGCCACATCCCAAATGCTTTGTTAATTATGTGTGCATGCTTGCGTGCTTAGTCATTTCAGTAGTGTTAGACTCTTTGCAAACCCATGGACTGTAGCCAGCCAGGCTCCTCTGTCCCTGGGATCCTCCAGGGAATAATACTGAAGTGGGTTGCCACGCCCTGCTCCAGGGGATCTTCCTGACCCAGGGATGGAACCCACGTCTGCTGCATCTCCTGCATTGCAGGCAAATTCTTTACCACTGAGCCACAGAGGAATCCCTTTGTCAACTGTATCTTCCCCCAAATGAGATTTATCCTTTAAAAATAAAATATTGTTCCTCATTCTGGGAAAATAGATGATCACTGTCCATTAAGTGAGTAATGATATTAATTCTGAAATTTCATATGTTGGTTTAATGATTTTCCCCAAAAAGGCAATGAGATTTTCATGCATCTAAATCTTATTTACTCATCTTTTCATCATGGTTGCCTTTATATATGAAAATAAAAAGTGATAACAAACTACATGGAAAACAATTAGGCAATTAATGTACCAAAATCTTCACTAGCCATGAGAATGAAAGATTTTTTTAAAAAGACAGTCAACTTCTGCTGTTTTCTTCTTAATTCTAGAAGTTTATCCCTGATTAAACAAACAAAAGATTCTCATTCTTTTCAGGCATCATGAATCTCAATAGCTATTAACCTCTAAGATTGTCATATGGCAACTATATGTCACTCTAAAAGAGTTCAATATGCAAGGTTGAATTTCATCTACAAGTAAAACTAGTGATAGAACCACAGAAAGAAGCTGAGTGCCCCAGATATGTCCCTAGATGTGTTGATTTAGAAGTTAGAACTCTCCTAATAACTCACCCTTGTTTGTATTTCCTGTGTTCAGTTATGCTCTGTAGTAGATTACCTCTGTTCATGAATCTGTGTTTTTAGAAACTCTGTTCTGCATAAAAATGTTGCTGTTCTTACTTCATTAGATTAAGAGCAAGAAAAATGTAAGAAAATTTTATATCTTGCAGCTAGTTGATTAAGTTTAGAACAGTGAGTTCTCCTACACAGCTCCGAAAATGTGAAAAAATTACACATTTTGGGGGTGTAAGTATCTTGATAGTGTCTTTTAGTGCTCCTTCTTTGACCAGAAAAATTAATTAGCCAACATGCTGCAGCAAAGCATTCTTGTGACTAAATTATTATTACAGGGGACAACATATGCAGCAGACAATAATATATTTGCTATCCAGAGGGAAATGGTTTTTATTTTACTCACTACTATGGATTCTGGGCTTCCCTGATAGCTTAATGGTAAAGAATCTACCTGCCAATGCAAGAGATGTGGGTTTGTTCCCTGGACCAGGAAGGCCCCCTGGAGAAGGAAAGGGCAACCCACTCCAGTGTTCTTGCCTGGGACATCTCACGGACAGAGATTTAGCCCTGCTGGGCTAAAGACTGTGGGGTGGCAAAAGAATCAGATATGACTTAGCGACTAAACAACAACAATAACTGTGCCTTCTACAGATACCCCTCATAATCTTCTGATACTATATGAGCTTTTAACATACTCCATGAAAAGTGTCATTCTTGCTGGCATTGTCCCTGTTACAAAAATCACCTTATCCAAAACATTTTTCCGTTTCTAATAAAAGCTATTTGTGAATAAAAGCCTTTGTGTGAGATGTTCTATTTTTTGGTAATTCATTTAGCTTCTAAACTGTATTCCATATCCCATTTTTAAATGTGAGCACGCTTATTCTCAGTACTAGTCTTGATTTCCAGTGTTAAGGAGAAAGAATTTTTCTCTACCCTTCAAAGCTTCTTTTAGCTTGTCTAATAATCAAATCAACATAAGACAGATTAACAGGAGAATAACAAATTTAATTTCATATGCATGGGAATACCACATATATGAGAGGGTCAAAGACAGCAAGGCAAAATGAGGTATACATGCCTCCTTGAGCTAAGGAGAGCCTGGGACTTCAAAGGGAAGAACACTAATTCACAAGGTTAAGAGTAGATGCTGGGCAACTAGATGTTTGCTCTACCATACATATGGGCCATGCAGATAAAATTTATCTCTGCTAACAAATCTCATTCAAAGAAAGGACTCTCCCTCTGATATAAATTCTTTAGGGTAGCTAAGGGGCTTTCCCGGTGGCTCAACTGATAAAGAATCCACTGCAATGTGGGAGACCTGGGTTTGATCCCTGGGTTGGGAAGATCCAATGAAGAAGGGAAGGGTTACCTACTCCAGTATTCTGGCCTGGAAAATTCCATGGACTGTATAGTCCATGGGGTCGCAGAGTCGGACACAATGAGTGACTTCCACTCACTTGCTCAGGCAGAAGTTTCTCTTGAACTGGGAGGGTCTTGATTGCCTTTGACTCCAAAACATTCGCATCCCAAAGCGACATATTTTGGGGTGGTTGGTTCTGGACTCTTGCACCAGGATACTCCAGGAAACAATTTCTCTTGTAGAAACTTGAAAGATTCATTAAAATCTAAATCATCTTCTCTCTGCAGAATATAGCTTTTCAACTTTCAGAGCTTTATTTCTACTGATTGTTACTTTTTCAGAACCAAAGGGTCCTCAAGATCACTTCTTCAAACTTATTAAAAGAACAGTGTTGCTGTGCCAAAGTTCCTCCCTAGTATTTGTGAAATAAAAATGCAGCAGGATCTCTGCATTGATGCTTCATGCCCAGATGATTCTTCAAAATCACAGCATCCAAATGGGCTCATTCACTACCAATGAATAGTTACTTAGAGTTCTTCAGTGTTCATCCTTTTATTTTCTTAGAACTCCTCAAAATATCTGTGGTGGTCCTGACTTCCCTCTGAGAAGCTGTAATTTGCATCTACATTTCTGGAATCATTTAGACATCTTTGATTTAATTTCCCATAATAAGCCTTGTTCAGTAAAATAATTTTATAATTTATGTCAAATATGAAGTATGATTATAAAGTAATAGGACTGCTATTTTGTTTTTTAAACAAATACACTGAAGCAAGTAAATGAGTGTTGTCATACTAAGCTGTCTTTTTAGGAGTGTGTGATTATTGCAGGAACACTGCTACTGCCCAAAATGTTTGAGAATTTTCTCCTTTGAAATTATCACTGGATTATAAATTGTACTATCACTCAAAATTCTTTAAACATATAGTACTCTGAGAAGCAGACTTGACTAAGATAAAATCTGTAGTCTCAGTAAGCTAATAGTTAATAAATAAGGAAAATAGCACTTTCTTGTAAAGTCTATTTTTTTCCTAACCAAAAACAGTATTATTCAGCTTAGACATCTGCCGTATTTATTAGATTTAGCATGCTATGATTATGGCTATTTCAGAAAAACAAGTTCACCGTTTAAAACAGTGTGCCAAGGCATTCTTTTTGGATAAACACATTCTTGTTCATCTTTTTTACCAGTCACGTTACTTTAGTCACACTTAACACATTGCAGGAATAGCTTTCAGTGCCTCAGTGCAGTAAACCTTTCGACTGCTTCTCTGAAAATTATTGCCTTTAGGTAGAGATTGTAATTGCACTAAAATCTTGGGCGATATTAGATCCAATGACACTGAATGGATGTAGGGTGTCTGCTGTTCTCATTTTTAAAACATCTTTGTGGTTGACAGAGCAGAAGAGAAGTAGAAATTATATCCACTAATTCTATATTTAAAGATTCTTAAACTGAGGCTTCCCCAGTGGCTCAGTAGTAAAGAATATGCCTGCCAATGCAGGAGATGCAAGTTCGATCCCTGGGTCAGGAAGAACCCCTAGAGAAGGAAATGGCAACCCACTCCAGTATTCTTGCCAGAAAGATCCCATGAACAGATGAGCCTGGAAGGCTACAGTCCATGGGGTTGCAAAGAGTAGGACACAACTGAACACACACACGCACACGCGCACACACGCACGCGCACACACGTGCAGACACGCACACGCACGCGCACACACGCACACACAGGTGCACACACGTGCATGCACGCACACACACACACAAACTGGAGGGAATATCTGAGAAGTTGAGAAAACCCTTAGTTTCACCACTTAAAAAAATGTATCAGAGATTTGATCTTGCTGCTTTTGATACTGCCTTAAGTATATCCTGAGTTTTCCTTCCTTGTATCTTCAATAGTATGCCTAAAGGAAAGGGTCAGCTGAGATAATAATACAGACTTTTATGTGTGTTTTATCTTTTCCATAAGAATATTGGGTAGGAAATTGGACATTTTTTAAAATACACACTTCTAGTTATTTCTCTTTACTTCTCACTACTGACTTATGCAGAAATTCCAAACACTGACACTTTATTTTACAATATTATTGTGCATCCTGTAACCTTTAAAAAATTTGACTGTACATTCATGAGATGTGAGAATGAGAAAGATATAAAGTTTTAATATTACAATGAAAGTAGTTCAGTCTTGCAGACACCCTGAAATGCTCTTAAGGACACCCAGAAATACTTGGATAACACTTTGAGAACCACTGCTATAGATACTTTATGAGGAAAATAACACCTTAAAAACTAAGTAAATATTTGACTGGTTATTAAATGATATAACATCTGACTTATGATATAGTAGTATATGTTGTAGCAGGTTTTGAAGAAAGGTCTTGAAGCTTACTTGTGGTTGCATACCTAAGGTCGCAAACCATCTTAAAAGACCCTGGATTTTACTTGGAATGAATATGATTAGAGTATTTAGCTCTACAAATTTAAAACATCAAAGTTTTTGTTATTGAGAAAAACAAATGAAAAAATGAATCGCCTCTTTAGTTACACATCATGTAACTTTCAGAGTGTAATTATGCATTTTCCTATTTTTTGCACTGAACTAATAATTGCTGTATTTTTTAATGTCAGAAGTGGGGTGTTATTGGTGAGACTGTTTTCAAATAAATAATTTTTAATCTTTTTCATATGAAATTTCA